GCCCCCCACGTCTCCCTCGGGACCCCCCCGTGGGAGCCTCTCGGCCCCGCGCCGCCGCGAGCAGGATCCCCACGAGGTTCCTCTTCCTTCCATTGGGCTCCTCGCCTCCGAGGACAAGGGAGCTTCTCAAAGGGACAACAAAAACTCGGAAAAACCCCCAACTCAGCACTGTTGTTTCGTTTTCCAAGGAATGTAGCATCTTCTCTTATGTAGCTTGCCACGTGCTGACGACTCACTCACTCTCTGCAATATCTCAGAGGCTCCGGGCTGACCGGAATCATCTGCCAGGCACTTCCCCTTCCTTCGTTTTCCGACCCCAATCCTGCAACACTCAGCAAGCACTTCTGCTGGCCATCTTTTTTTTTTTTTTTTCCTTTTTTCCCCCCTTTTTTTATTTTAAATACCTTTTATTTTTTTCTGGTAGCATGTAGCCTGTGACCAGTGACATTGCCAAAGCAAGGGAGAAGAGGAAAAGGTGCCCTCGCCTCACCCAAGCGTATGCTGGTCTTACCCTCCTGTTTCACCGTGGTCTTGCCCAGCCAAAGCAAGACCCAAAAATCTGAACTCTGTGATGCCTCGTGTGAAAATCCCCATCAGGAGAAGGCGACCTGACGGAGCAGGGGTGCCGGGAGGCTGGTCACTCCTCTGCCTCCAGCCCCTTCCTCCCACGAGGTCCAGCTCAAGGTCTGGGATGCTGTCCTCGGGTCTGGGATGTTCTCCTCGGGTCTAGGAGGCTCCCCTCAAAGTCTGGGGGGGCTCTCAGGTCCGGGGGGCTCCCCTTGATACTTGAATTTCCAGTAGGAGCAGAGGGTTTGCCAGGCCCCACGGCAGGACTCACCTTTCTCTAACTCTTGACTCGTTGGTACGCTACAGGGGAACATCTCAACAGCATCTTCTGCTGATCTGGAATCCGGGTGACTGAGAGGTTACGAACAAAGGACTCGATGCTTTGAGTTTATTATCAGGATGAGTGTTTTGGGTTTTTTTGTTTGTATGTTTCGTTTGTTTGTTTTTAAAGCAGCATTTTGGTTCCCCTCCGAGGGACCAGTTCTTGTAGCAAAACCGAGAATTACGGAAGCTTTTTTTGAAGGTGCCTAATGAAATTTGCTGAAAATACTCAGGGGAGACACCACTAGAAACTCTGGTTTCTTCATAAAATACACTTAACACAGTGACTGTCCTGAAGGATCAGTTTCCAAAAGAGAGAGAGAGAGAAAAAAAAAATAAATCAACACACCAAAAGTTGAGCAGTCCCAAGACTGGAAGAGGACAAAAAGGTTAATGGGGAATTCCTCCCAACCAGGTGGCTCTGACCTTCAGCCTCCAACACAAACCGACCCACAGCACAGCTGGGAGGTTTTTACAAGGATTTATTGGCAGAGCAGAGAACTTCCCAATGCACAGAGCACAACAGAACCACCTGCCCGTGGTTCTCCTGGTGACGCCAGGAGGGATGAACCAGCTCCAACCTGTTGCCACAACGGAACCAACCCCAAACCTGAAGGACAAGACTGGGGTAAGGAAGCTGTTCCCTCCACAGACCCACACCCAGGGGTCAGCCCAGCTCTGCTGTGGGGCTGGTTTGCCTGGGATTTTAACAACATCATGGACAAGGAATTTCAGCTGCTGTTGAGGAATTTGGGTCTTTATCAACTCGGAATCTCTGAGAAGAGAGTAGGCTGGAGGCTGCTGACCAGGGATGGAGAGGGATCTGCTTCAAGACCCCAGTGCCCCCCTCCTAAAGGATTAAATCCTCGCCTGCCAGGGTGGTAAGTGCTTGTTGAAGCTCGTGCACAGAGCCAAGGGAGGCACTGACAGTCTCAAGTGGTTTGAGGAAGCAAACGTGGTGCCCTTGCTACTGAAAGAGGAATAAACAATGGCTTGAACATGATGTTCCTTCCAGAGCATGAAGAAGTTATATGAGGTCAGCGATGCCTGGATGAGGCTAAACTTTCTCTGCCCCAGTGTGCTGCATTTTTGAATATACGTGAGGGAAGGCATCTTAAGAGGAAAAGCTTTCTGCTCCTTCAAGCTAACATTTGCTTTTGCTTTTACCAACTCTATTTCAATGGAAAAATGACAAATCTGCCTGTGGCAGGACAGCAACCGTGTCCAGGGGAGGTGGAACAGGCGTGGGCAGAGCTGGGAGCTGTTGTGTGCTCACTGGTGTGGACACAGCATCCCACCCCCTGCCCCTTCCAGCACAGAGCTCAGTGGCTGCAGGGTTCTCCAGGGAGCAGCAGAACTTCACTGCTCCCCCTCTCCACATGAGGCTTTTCTGGAGAGACACAACAGAAATGGGGTGAAGAGCAGCAGGAGCACCCAGACACCTGGGGCACAGACCCACAGCAGCAGATCCCTGGGGCTCACTGAAAAACCCAGCAGGTGGGAAATCCAGAGGAGAGAACCATCCTCTGAAGGCACAGCCTCCAGGGGAAACCCAAGAACTTCCTGAGTTCATCATCACTGGACTCGAGGCTGCAGCAGAGGCTGTAACAACGTGGGAAGGAGCCACAGCCCAGCTCTGCCCCACGGTGCTGCAACACCAGGGGCTCCTGGAGACCAGCAGGGAGGAGCCACCCTGCCAGTGACCTCACAGGACTGACTGAACTCCATCCAGACCTGACCTTCACTGCCTGCACCACGTGCCCACTCCTCCCAGGGAGCTGGGACCAAGTCCCCTGGGGAGCATCTGGGTCAGGACTCACCTCACCCTGGTGGGGAAGAAGTAGAAGGGGAGAGATGGACGTGTGCCACCTTCACAGGGCAACATCAGCTCCTCCTCACTGCTGAACGTGTGACACCAGCTGCCAGACCTCCTCCAGCAACAAGAACAAAAAAGCCAAGCCACCCAACTGCTTTCTACACGACACCAGAAAACCCACAAGCTTCTGGACTCCAGGTTTTTTGGGGGAATGTTTTCTTGCAAAGGGTATTTTTTAAATGTCCTATATATGATTTGCAAAAGGTGGCAACACTGAGTAGGTGTTCTCAATTTCCTCCATCTTCCATTAAGAAAGGAAATTCAAACCATTTGATTTTCCAGATGTTTTCCCCTAGAAACCATAATTAATATTAAATTGAATGAGCTTTACAGCCCCTTTTACCCCCAGCAGTAAGTGAACAGCAAGCAGCACCCAGCTGAGACACAGAAGACCTTACAGTAGATGATAGTGTCCAAATCAAGGCACCCTACTTGAGTACCAAGGATGAATTTGCCAAAATAGCCTTGAAATGATACTTAAATGGGATCTAACTGTAAATGCTGGTTAAAGAAAAAAAGATAGTCATGGCCAGACAGCAAAGCATAGACAACACTACAGGAGTTTGTGCCCAGGCCTGAGAGATCCCTGGTGTTTCTACAAGCCTGGAATGGGCTTTGTTTGCCAAAGCTGAGTGAAAATTTTCCTCAGGCATTGTGGGCCTGGGTTCAGGTGAGAAATTCTGGGCTCAGTCAGAAATCACCTCCTGTTTCATTAACGTCATGGGATGTTGAAAAATGGGGAGAGGAGACTTAGACAGTTCACTGAAATCAAGTGAGATGTGGAAGCAGTTAGCTGGGCAGTGATCAGAAAATGCAGCCTGTTCACTGGCTTTGGCCAATGCCACAGAGAGCAGGAAACGTTCCCTCTGTGGCCACCTTCTCCAGCCCTCAAAACCTCTTCTCCAGAAGCACTCCCAGACGTAGCTCTTGCTTGCAAATCTGCAGCCAGGAATCCCCCCCAGAGTGGGATCAGGATTCCCCCCTGGATCAGGGGAGTCTCTTCTGTTCTCTGTCTCACCCGACTGCTCCAGCAGCTCCCACCCAGAGCCAAGCCTGGATCTGCAGGTGCTTGTGCCCAGCACTGTGTGAGAAGAGTGAACCCATCAGAATACCTGCACATGTCCCAGGGGCCTGGCAGACCCTTGGCAGCCGTGAGCACGACGGGAGGGTCTTCACTGACCCAAGACCATTTCTAAACCCAACACTGCTGGTGTTTTTTCAGGCATAAAGAATCCACCTTCTATTTTCTTCCAGTTGACGCAGAAGCTTCTTCCCTGATGGGTGTGAAACATTTGGACAAGGCACATCTGTGAGCTTCCTCCAGGGTGTGCATTTGGCTACTGATTTGGAAAAGAATTGTTTTTTAAAGGTCAAGGAGCAGTGTTCAGGCACCGTTCTGGATGGCTGGATTCAAAATCTGAAGGTGTTTTGCATCACAGATGGAAAAGAGAGGCTTTCCTTTGGCTTTTTCATGCCTTTCAGGCAAATATACCTTCAGTAAAAGCAAGGTTTGCATCCCAGGATGTGCTGAAGGCACGACCACCCTGCCCCAGTGTTTCTCTGGCAGAGCTCTTTCAACTGGAAGTCTTCCTTCTACTTCACGTTCACAAGCATAAGAAACCACCCCAGCCCCTGGCTGGTTGTTAGAGGTGCAAGAATTTTGTTCATGAGCTGAAAAAGAAGGTTGAAAGGCTGCAGAAAAGGCTTCCTGTGGGAAAAAAAAGTGTCTGCAGTACGCCTGGTTAGAATTGGGGTGATGAAGATGAGCTGAAGTTACACAACACGCTCGCAGTGACCAGACGTGACAGCAACACCCACCTGAGCTGAGCTGCTCTCTGCTGGAGGAAGAGTTTGGTTTTAAAAGCAGACTTGGGAAAAGTTGTCCAGTTAAAGGGCCTGAGTGTTGGTCCTGCTGTCTGAGTAACCGCCACACTGTTCAGCCCCAGGACCCCCGGGAGGCAGCTGGGGGAGCAGCTCCCAGGGAGCCCCAGGGGCTGGGTGACCACTGCAGCTCCCATTATTGGTATACCTCATTTTGTTTCTTCCCCACCCCCCTTTTCTCTTTAGGAACCAGAGCTTCGTGCACTCTCTCACATTCAGGTTATTTTGGGTTGTAACTGTGCAATGAAGAGCAATTCCTCGGGGGGTGCATTTCCCACCTCTGCTTCGTTCAGCACTTGCACTACTGATGGCTGAGCTGAAGGGCGAGGGAAGCGAGAGGCCGGGGGGCTTCTCTGGAGGGAGGGGAGATGTGGCTGGCCAGGAGGTGCCCCCCTTTCATCACTCCTGTTATCAGCATGTAGATAAGGGGTGCTCAGAGCCTGGCATGAGTGGGAGAGCACAGCCCTGCTCCCCCAGCAGCCCTCCCCTCCCACGGCCAGGGCTGTGCTGCTGCTCTCCGGGGGGCACTGAACCCCTGGGGCCAGGCAGAGAGGGCTGTCCCTGCAGCCAGGGGACAGGCACCCCACTGCCCTGCAGGATCACTGTAAATAGCTGCTAGATCCCAGCACTCGCTAAAAAAAATAAGGGAACATTGTCCTGACAGTTGCAGTGAGGACCATGAAGTGATGCTTGATGTCAGAGGGCCTCTGGAGGAGCAGCACTCCCCTCCTTGTTCCCAGCTGGCCAGGGACCCTGGCAGCAGATGCCTCTTGAATGTTAGCACTTTGAAGTTGGTGGCCTTGTTTTCTTAAAAGGGCTTGATCTTTTCATGCAGTTAAAACTTATCTTCCCCATCATGTTGTCCTACTCCCCACCTCAAAATTAAACTACCAACAAGCACCTGGACTATCCAAGATATTATCCAGGACTCAAGAATCTGTCATTAATCTCAGAAGTTTATACCTCAAAAACGTACACGACTGTCTTGGTTACACTTGGTTAAGTAGCAGCTCCAAGTTTGAAGATTGTCCTTGAATTTTGATTATTAGCACCAGGAAAAAGACCAAAACCAACCCCACGTAAGCAGAGAAAAAGCACTGATGAATTTTTTTAGATGCACCCAAACTGAAGCATTCATCCTATCAAAAAATTCAGAATTTGTACTCCCAAACAAGACACGTGAGGGATTTTATCTACACCCTACAAATTAAACACAGCCTATGCCTTTTAAATTACATTAGCCCCCTATAAAACATAAAAGGGGGAATAAAAAGGTCCAAGACTGTTAAAGGTATGAGGCAGTAAGAGATACACCCAGACCAATGCAGCCAGCCAGTCATTTCTAACCAGGTAGCTCCTAACTTCTAACCATAGTCCTCCAGGTAGCTGCTTCAGAAGCCCCAAAATGAGCATCTTGGTTTGGGTGCATCAAAAAACCAGTGCCACAGCTGAGCAAAGACACATTGATGCTACTTTCACGTTTTCCATCATAAAAACCCCCAGCAAGTCGCATCGAGGAGAATTACCCAAACCAAAGGGGTCCCATTAGATCAGGAAGTTGTCACAGCTTCATTAGCCACGAGTTAATTGCTCCTACAAGCTTGGTCTTCAGTCTCTTGATGAAGAAGGTAGCAGACATCTCACCCTTCGAGTGGCACACGTCAGCTTTGTGTCTTTCTCTGTGTGTCTGTTACCTAGGGGAAAAAGGAGAGTTAGGTGCAGAACTCGGGCAGGACTGGCACTCAGCCTGGGCAGCTCTGTGCTCTTGGAAGCCAGGGGGCAGCTGTGCCAGTGACCAAACCTGGCTGCCTCCAGCAGCCCACTTGTATTTTGTGATAAACTTTGCTTTGATGACAGATTCGTTAAGTTTTAACGACTTCCACCTTAAAAGAAACGCCGCAGAGGGGTGAACTGGGGGGGCCTTTAAGCTCCAGTTCCACATTCAAGACAAGGGGATGGGCTTGTGATGGATACTTGAGGATGGTAAGAGATTTAAAAAAAAAAAAGCATAATGGCAATTTTCTACCTGTGCTATGTAATGTTTTATATGTGCGTGGTCTTTCTTAATGTCAAACTCTTGTATTTTTGTGGTTTATATGCAGCAGGGCTGATGGCTGGGAGGGTGCACGCTGTTTTGTAAAATATTCTTAGCCAGTTTTCCCAAAGAGGGAAACAAAAAAAAAAACCTGAAGTATTCACATTTTCATTGGCTTGTACCTGCATGTACAGTATTGGGGCAGCAAGTGAAGATGATTAAAGCTTGAAAACTTTTCTGTGCTTGAGTGGAGCTTCTCAAAACATCCCAACGAAAAACCAACACCCTAGACCCCCCCCCAAAGAGATATGCTGGGGAGAAAGGGAAGAGGAAGAGCCCCTTTTTTTCTAGGGAAAGCAGATTTTGCCCTGAGGAAAGAAGCACCATAATTAGTATGCAGGCAGAGTACCATCAGCTCAAGGCTCAGTCAGCTGAGCTCTCCCTGCAGCTGCACATAGCCACCCACAACCCCACAAAAAACTGCCCTTCCTCCCCCTGCCTCAGGTGACTCCCAACTCCCCCCAGCCTTCCACATTCCCACCGTTACCATTTGTTTTATAAAAGCTTAACATTTACCTTTTGGACAGGCCCTGGTGAGGTTTCTGTTGAGCACTGGGGTGAAGCTGCAGCTCGAGGCAGTCGGGTTCTTGCTGCAGGAACAGTTTGCCCACAAGAGCTGTGAGTCTCTTGCCCACACAAGTGTCAACTGCCCCAATGCTGCCTCTGCTGAGCCTGGTGCTTTGCCCACAGTCCTCCCTGTGACATTTGGGACACAGCCACGCTACAAAGCAGATGGAGATGGTCTGACTCAGGTGAAAGGCTCCAAATCTCTGCACCTGAAGGGAGCGACTCGCCCCAAAGACAGTGGTGGTTCAAGACAACCTGTCACACTGCTTACAAACAGCAGAAGGCAGCTGAGGAGGTTTCACCGCAGTATTGGTTTTATTTGGGAATTTACATATACACAGGATAAAGTAAACTGCAGAAGTCTGACTTCTGGCACACGCTGATGGGTTTAAGCAGTTGTGTTCTACCGAAGATGAGAAAAGAAATCTGAACCCCCCACCCACTTCTTATGCCTAGAGTAGAATGTCAAAAAGCTAGCCAGGAAAAGGGACCAGGATTACACAGGAACAACAAAAAAAAAAATATGAAAAAAGTATAAATTAGGATGTCATAGTCATTTTAAAAGTGTAAGAAAACTTGCCGTGGGCTTTCAGCCCTTGATAAGTTACCTCTCAGTTAGATTGTTAAAAGTTAAATACATCAATACCACATATTAGACAGAAAAGCCACTCTGAAGTGCAAGTTTCACATTCCAAACAGCTTGCCCCCACACTGTGAGAGAATCCTGCTTGCTCACGGGGGGAGGGAGAGGGGGCTTCCAAATCACTTTGGTTCCAATGAGGGTTGGTGAGCCAAGCACAGCAAGGCCTCGGCTCCGGAGAACTCCACTCAAGGGAAGAGGTAGCAAGGCTTGCTTGCCCCTGGGTTCCAATCCAGTTCCTCAGCACCAAACAAGGTTTCCACCCCTCTGCTAACCAAACCCCCCCACTAATACTAGAGTTCAAGTGATTCTGAGAAGGGCTCAGGATCTTTGTTCTCTCAGTGCCACCTGTAACCTCAGGTCTCCCACGTTCCTCGGTCGCCTCTGCCCAGGTACCCAGCAGGACATCAAGTGCTACCCAGAAGCATTAGTGGAGGTTTGTGCAAGGAGGGGGGTCCCCCCCAGAAGTGTGCATTGACTGTGCTAAATACAGGGGAGCTCATGTTCTGACCACTGAGGTGGTTTCACCGTGTCTGACAGTGAAAAGGCAGAGATGGGTCTCAGTTATGGAAAGAGGCTCGGGCTGGGCAGCCAGCCAGAAAGAAAAACCCTGAATGTCTCATGGAGCAGTTTTGAAGAACAGAACAGAAGGCAAAAATGGTCACAACGCAAGGGCTCATTTGGACATCTGAGTGCTGAGGGACTGATTGCTTCCCTGGGCACCTCCTCCGCCCATCGACTGTCCATACCCCATCAGGCCATTAGCTCCATAGAAGTTCATCCCAGCCATCTGCTGGGTCATCTGCAAAGGGGAGAGAAGTCAAGGTCACGTCAAGGAGACTGACAGCCCACAGCAGTCAAAGGTAAAACTCTTGCTCCACAATGTATTACAAGCTTAAGCAAGTTCTCCCAAAGAGCTATGGCAAACAGAAGTCCCTGCCTTCTCCCTGTCTGCCCACCTAGCAAGCTGAGGGGCTTTTCATCATAGCTGCTGCTGCACTGATTTTTATTCTCTACCAATCACCAAGACCCCTGAGCAAGTCACTCCTTGGCCTGAGGGGTCAGCAGCCCTCCCCCAACCCCAGGAGCCAGCCTCTGAAATCACCCAAAGTCTCCCAGGAGCTCCATTCAATCCCATGTGCCTCCCCCCACTGCCCTCCACCCCTCTCTGGGCCAGCAGAAGACCCCAGCTCACCTGGGTGATGTTCCACTGCAGCTGCTGGGCTGGCTGCACGCCGTAGAGGGGCTGGGGCACTGCTGCCATGGTGGCCACGTAGCCAGCCTGCTGTGCAGCCAGCAGCCCGTTGGGGACGCCGAGGACGGCCGCCTGCACGTTGCCCACGTACCCTGCTGGGATGGCCATGGGAGTCACCAGCCCTGCGGCCCCAGGCTGGGCCATCATGCCCACAGATGGGGCCACCATGCCTCCCATCATGCTGCTGGAGGGGGGGACTCCTGGAAAGCTGGTGTAGGCTGCTGCAGGATAGGCCATCTGAGCTGGGGCCATGAACATCGCTCCTGGAACAGGCAGAGAAGAGATGAAGGGAAGAACTGGGGCATTATTGTCAGAGGCTGAAGTGTCAACCTTGCTATCAGAGACTATCACAACCTTCTCTTGGCCATGACATCCAGACTAAGCTGCTTGTTCTGCTTCTCACCAGCTCTCAAGGAGGACCACCTACACACCCACATTGCCTGTCAGCTGCCAGGACACCCCACCCACTGTGAATTAGTGTGCTGCTGTTCCACAGCTCTGCTCTGAGCTCCGTTACCTTGTGCAGGCAGCTGAGGTGTTTGAGAGCCATACAAGGAGAGGATAGAGTCTTTAGAGAGCTGCTTCTTCCCCACCTCCTCTCCTTTGCCTCCCGGCTCAGGGAAGAGGTTCAGGTTTTCAGGAACAGAACCAGCACATCCAGATGTTGGCATAGAGCCAGTGACCTGAGACAGAGACAGCACAAGCTCAACAGCTGCATTCAGCACCAGGGAAGACACAGATCATCTCATTCAAGTCTCTAACCAGGCTGTGTCAAACCTTGATGTTCCCAACTTACCTTCCTGGAGTCAGAGTTTGATCCCACCGAGGCAAAAAGATCCAGATCCTTCTCCAAGCTGCTAGGCCTGCCATTTGTGACTGTGGTGGTCACAGGAGCGTCTGGAAGAGACACAAAGCTGTGATGATGTTCTCACAGATGGCCTCAGGCTGAGGGGCAGCCTCCTTGCCAGTTGAGCAGTTTGCACATATGCCACTCAACCCAGTGACCTGACCTGGAGCCTACTTCAGCCAACTCACACTGCCAGCTCCTCACTCGTCCTTCTGGTGCCGAGGAGGAGCTGGCTCAGAGGACCAAGGAAGTGCCCTGTGCCACGTCTGCCCGATTAACCCCGGAGCAGCCAGGAGCCACGCTGTGTCTGGAGACCACTCCTGCTGCCCCTGCACTCCCACAGCACAGCCAGGGCACCAGAGTGAAGGAAAACACACAGAGAAGTGTTTCTGCTGCAGTCTGAGCACTGTGCTTGAGCTGCACTGGAGCAGTAAGTAAAACACTCTGGTGTCCCCACCAGCGACTGTTCCCCTGACGTGCAGAACAAGCACCAAAAGCTCAGCTTCACCAGATCAAGGGAGGGGTTATGGGGTCACTGCCAGCAGTGCAGTAAGGCTGGAAAGGCCCTTACCAAGTCCCAGCAAGTCCATTACTGGTTCAGTAGATTTAGGAGAACTTTTCCTAGACTGCTGCGTTTCTTCTTTCTTTTGAGGCTAGGGTGAAAAAAAACCAAGTTTTTTTCAGATTTTGGTTTTACTCCCATACATTAGAGGCTTTAATGAGAGATTAACCCTTAAAATATTTTTTTTCCCCCCCAGTGGACATAAGTGCTTCCAAAGCTATTTCAGATTGAGTATGACATAGTTGTTTTACTGTCCCATTATTGGACCCCACTGTCAAATTAAACATGCTCTAAACTGGGAAAAAGTATCAGCTCAGGCTGGAAAGCTAAGCAGGGATAGCTGGATTCCAATATGCTCTGCACTGCAAGGCAGAGCACATCTGCTTAGTATCCAACAGAGCAGAGGAAAACAAGCTACTACCATTAGTGTGACTCAGTGCATCCACTGCTATGACTGAGGCCAGAAAAAATGCTTCCATATCAAGCTGCTTTACCTCTGCTCTGCTTGAGAGAAGTCTTGACAATTGACCCATGACCATGCCTTTTGGTCTTACCATTTTCACCTTCTCAAAGATGATAGGTTCCAGTTTTCTTTCTGAGATTGCCTCATTACTCCTCTTCCACTTGTCATCCTTTTCTTTCTGTAAGGAAGAAGCCACTGGCATGAGGATCAAAACTCGTCGTCACACCACGAGAAAGTCCATACAGAGCTTTGCATGATGCTGTCACACATCTAAAAGCCCCCACAGACCCAGCTAAAGACCTTCTGCATTGGAAGCTAATCCTCCTTTGAGCAAGGAGATGACAAGATGGCCTTCAAAGGTCCCCTCCAATTTAAATTCTTTCGACAGAATGCCTCCGTGCAATCAGCCTTGGGGAAGAGATTAGTCACTGGTACAGGAAACATTTGAACTGCCTGTTTTCATGCAGTCCCTGCTTACTCAGAAGACAGACACACATCTCAACAGGCACTCGAGCTTCTGTAGCAGTGATGAGACACTGACCCTGAACGTGCTGATGTCAATACTTCGGTCCAGGTATTTCTTCTTCTCGTACTTGTCCCGAATGAAGCTCTCCACAGCTCTGCAAGCAGCTTGTTAAAGACAAATGATTCAAGAACAGAAGACTTACGTAGCATTATTTGCCATGTGGCTACAAGGTACAGGCTGTAACTAAACCAACGCCTGTTTAAAGAGTAACTTTCTTAAAATAATTGAGTGTTGGATCCCAACTACTTCAGCTACTCAATTTTTGCCCTTCGGTTATTCCAAGCATGATGGTGCTATAAAAGGTACAATAAATCAGGGCTTAAATTCCTGGCATGTTTTCTTCACTGATGTATATTTTACTTCAACCAGCACTTCAGAGCACACACGTCATCAGCACAAATCACACAGTGGTCAGAGAAATGGATCCTGTGCATACAAAAGCACCTCAGGCACCAGCTTAAGTCAAAAATGATGGTGGAGAGATGCTCCTGTGCATCTTTAGGGTCACACCACTGCACTCCTGTTGCACTTGGCATCTAGAGACCCCTCCCATAAGGTCAAAATTAAAGCTTAATTTTTCAGAAGTGTTAAACCTTTTTAATCTATCTCCACTGAGAATTTTTAATGCTCAACACTTCTGAAAGTCAACCCTCCTGTTTGCCACAGACTCCAAAGTGCATCTTGTGCAACAGCTGCAGGTTCTAACACTGGTGTCCCAGTTGTCCACCCCGAGAGCTCAGCAGCAATCCTTTTAGCTCTCTTCTGCCTGGTTCTGGAAGCAAGCAGCCCACGGGTGAGGCAGCACTCAGAGGGTGCCCAGCTAGGAACTCCTTCTCCCAGCTGATGCCCAGACACATGGAGTTAAACCTCCCAGGCAAGGAGTGCAGCTACAAAGCAACACGATGAAAAGGCTCCACGTTTCCACAGCAGCAAAGGAAGAAAGGATGCTGATCTGTCTGAGGTCTCCTGAAGTTCTCTGGCAGGTAGGCTTCATAAAGACGATTTGCTTTCCCGTTTCCCATCTCCTGCATGCACTGCAAGTGGAAAGAACTCCTGAGTCCTCCATTTCACAGACATTAAAGCTCTTACACACACCAGCATGCCAGGCTACCAGGAGTTACCATGTTCACTAGAAGGCACAGGCAGCCCTCTGAAGTCTGTTCTTACCTGAAAGCCACTCCTCAGGCTTTTGATGAGGCTGCTGGCTGGGAATCCCCAGCAGCTGCTATGACCCCCCCTCCACAATTACCCAGTCCTAGGCACCACAGCACAGGAGTTATTTGAAGGCAAGGTACATATCACATGGGCAACCTAAAGTCACCCTGGAAGCCCAGGATGTGACTTGCAGAAGCCTCAAGGAGAGGAGGAAGGCAGCAGCTCCACACACCAGGAGCCTTCAGCAGTTTTCCAGAAGCCTGCAGAGCATTTGCCTTTACCCTGTGATGCTTGCCAAGCCTGAAATGAGGACATCTTCCCCTCCCAAGCTAGCCCAGCTTGTTATCTCCTTCTTTATTCACTTCCCACATCTTTGGCCTATTCAGACTTCGTTTACTTCCAAGCTGATGCAGCCCCACTACCAGAACACCCACTGATCACTTGCATTACCTGTATCTGTTCTTGTGTCCACTGGTCAAGATTGACAGATTTTACCCTGGATATATGAACTCCCAGGTTCCTGTGGATGCCAGCACAACGAATGCAGATGAAGACACCAATATTCCAGGATGCCCATCGTGGCCCTGCAAAGAGACACGAGTGTTTCACACCACCAAGTCAACCTGGAGTTGCTTTGAGCAACTGAGAAACTGTACCAAGTGAACTGGCACTGAGGCATTCACTGCTTCATCCAGATTAGAAATTGGAATTGGATGTCAGCAGGATGTTTAAAGGTTGTCTTCCAATCATTACACTTAAAGACAGTATTTTGTTGCCTCCCTCTTCCACTTTGAGAGCTCTACAGAAGGCTAACAACTATTAAGAAGGGGAAGGGGGTGGAAGAAAAACAGGCATTCAAGCTACCCAAGACATTACCAATCCCAAATTTCATCTTGCTTAAATCAGTGTAACAGTCATGTCAAGAGAAGCCTGTGTTCCTGCTTCAGCAGTGGAGAATCTTCCTCAGCTAGCTTTATGCAGTGGAATTGGCTCCAGAATGTTCACTGGAGAAGCAGCAGCAAACACTCGGCGTTTGACATATGGATCACATCATCACATCTGCTGTTAGCCTCGTGCAGGAGGCTGCAGCTGGGCAAGGAGAGCAGCACAAAGCCCAGAAGCTTTGGCCACCAAAACCCTGGAGCCAGGGGCAGGTCCTGGCACAAGACTGAGCAACAGTTCACTGGCAGTTTCTACAGCTCTGCCCAGAGTCACGGCTCGCATGCGGCTGGCGGGCAGGCAGGAGAGCTCCAAGGTGTAGAAGGGAGATCATGCCAGGGGGGAAAAACCACAAGGGAAAGATTAACAAGCTTAGTTTTACTCACTGCAAACAGTTCTCTGAAGGAAACCCAGCAATGCATTACCCAGGGGCTGGCAGAGGTCCACAGGCACTGCCACCACACGCAGCCCCCTGCCCAGGCAGGAGCAGCAGACCCTGGCCACTCTCAGGCCTGCTGAAGGAAGACCAGCATGGGAAGTAGTCCTCTGTGGTGCAAGACAAGCAGGATTTCACACGAAATCATCTGGCTAGAGCTGCCAGCCAGCCACACAGGCCAGCTTCCCCCTGGGGTTGGACATCACTGTCCATGGGTACTGGCCAAGGAGCCTCAGCAAAGCCACGTCCTGAACGAGGGACCCAAGAGCCTCCAATCAGCTCTGCTGGGACTTTTTATAGGCATGACAGGCACTGCTGCAGATGAGTGATCCTGTCTTTTCTTGCCAGAGTTAAAATAGCAAGCCTCAAAGCTAATGAGACTGAGGTGGGAGGGGGAAGAGGGGGAAAAGTGTAATTTCCAAGCCCTAAAAAAGCAGCACTGAATTTGAGTCTCCTAGATGGCTGTGAACAGTTTAATTCTGATTTACTGGGAATTTCTAGAGTATCCCGAGGGATTTGGTGCTGCTAATGGCATCACTGGCTCACAGCCCCTTCCAGGGCAAAGACACACGACCTCTGACTTACCCCCAGTACCTATTCCAGCAAATTCATGTTACAGTTTTAAAAAGGTCTTTGTGAAATCTTTTCCCCTGTCCTGCCACTGCTTTCTGCTTTTTCACTAGATGAGTGAGGCCCTTGAGAATGATATTATTTCAAGGAAGCTGATGAAAGTCCACTTCCCAGCTCAGGAATAGCTCTTCCTGCTCCTGTTAAGGTGCAGACCTTAACATACTCCTGCCTATAGCCCAGTTCCTTTATCACACCTACCGAAATCTAGGACTGAATGCATCAAAGCAGGGGCCCACACTTTTAGCAGCACCTAAATATGCCAGTTACAAAGCTTGCCATGCAAAAATAAAAGGATTGCTCAGTGTTATGTGTGTAGCACACCAAGGTGAAGCCAGGAACTCTGATCCTCCACTGGATTTATTTGTGGAGTTCTCTCCCAGATACACCCTGAGGGCTATAACGTGAGACCGCCAGCAGGATTAAGCATGAGATTCAAGGTTAGATTTAAATTCTAGATATATTTAGCCTTTATAGGACTAAAAGGATTAACACTCAGCTAGATACTACATCAGGGCTGTAGTAATCAGCTCACTGGTTTGTCACATGTACGAGCTCAAGCCAGTGCAACCTCCCACCCTGCGATGTCAGCCCAGGGAATGACTCAGTGGTACAGCCTGTTACACCCATCCTGCCTCAGCCTTCCCCACTCCTGAGGGAAGAAAAGAGGGAGGAAGACCCCTGAGGGTCTGAAACAGCAAGGGCTGGCTACAGGAGTTACACCTGACCCCTGTGCTGAAGCAGCTTCATTGAATTTTAAAAAAATAAAAGTATGCAGGCTTCCAAAAATCCTCCTAGCAGCTAGAGTTTGGTTTGGGGATAAACACACAGCCACGGGTAGCTCTCTTCGCTGGTGTTTATTCCAGCCAGAGTTTGGGCTATAAGAAAGGCTTCAGACCTACAGACAATTGCCAGAAATCTGGGGACATGGTGTTGTTTCTGTCCAGAACCAGGGAGAAGATGGTGATCCCAGAGGTCCAGCAGTCTGCTCTGAGGTGGTGGTGACCCACATGTCCCAGTTAGGTTGGGTCAGATGCCACATGCAGAGCCACCAGGCCAAACATTTTTACTAGTCCTGCAGCTTTGCTAGTATCTAATGCCTCTAATCAGTAAAAGAAACCAAGATTTTGTATAAAGCACTTATTTTTGTGGGCGAGGGGGAAGTGTTCTGCTGCAAAAGTCAACAAGCCTCCCACTTCCCTCTTTTGAGGCCACGATGAAGGAGCTCACACTCGAAGCCACGCAGGGAAGTGGCCAGTAAAGATCTAGCTGGGGAGAACTTCCCCAGTGTCAGATGCCATTTTCCAGGTGACTGACTTGCAGAAAGCCCCAGGTGGTGTTTACAGATGTGAGCTGGTCTACACAGTGCAGCATCTGACTTCCCAAAAACTGAAGTGAGCTGGAGACTGCCCAGAAGCTGCAGTGACCGAAGGGGCAAAACACCTTAAGTAGAAGGCAAAATTTTTATGAGAAAAATGTTTTTATATTGGTAAGTCACTTCAGAGACCACCACAGCAGCGTTTATCAGCAGGACTGGAGGTGCTGTGGAGCTCTGTCTGCCCTGGCAGCCTTTGTGCACACCCTGACACCCCCACAGGTCACTCACACGAGGGCTCAGGGAGCACTTCACCCCCCAGGCTCAATGAATCATGGAAACTTATACGCAGAAGGTTTCAGGCCAAGGGTAACAGAAGCATTTAGCTTGTTAAATCACTAGAAAGAAACATGAAAGAAATTGGTCCTTGCATGAATACTCTCACCAGTGTTATAAAAATAGTTCCCCTGGGGCTGGTGTCCTCACAGCCACCAGCTGGCTCTGCAGCTTGAGGTCTGAAGGAAAACTCACTTCCCATATGCAAAACTGGGAGCTTGCTGCAGGGACAGCCAGGATCAGACACGTGAGCCTGATGCTGTGGTCACTGTTGTTTGGGTATTCTGGCTAATTTTAACATCCACTGTAAGCAAACTACTTGGCACTACCCCGAGCTGGGCATAGCTTGTCCTGATGAAGCATCTCATGCCCCTGTATGTCCCCTCCTAAGAGCACAAATCCTGCCTGGAGAAGGGCAACCATCTGTAGGTGAGCATGAGATGAAAGGAAATGGCAGTTTTGAGTTAGAATCAAAACAGACCTAGGAGCCCAGCTACAGGCTCAGTTCTGGCACAGTATTAAGACCAGCTCAGACCACTCTGGGATTTATCCTTAGCCTGGCAGTGGTGGCAAGAACATCCCAAGCTTAAAAGCATCCATTGCTCAGCCAGTTTTCATTTTAGAAAGCTGCACTGAATACTTGGGTGTGTTCCTGAGCGAGGATGCAGCACCATCAGCAGAGACTGGACAGCTCTGTGAGAAGCTCAGCTGCCCAGTCCCTGCCTCCCTGAGACACTTCCACAGCCTGCTTTATATCCAAGCCTGTCAAAAGAAACACCACGGCCCAAGCTGATGATACCAGCTCAAGTGAGCATCTAACCCAGCATCATTACTGCCTGAGTGACCTGCCCAGACTGAAAAGGTTCCTGATTCCCTTTTAAAACCCCTGCACAGTCTGGCCAGTCCCCATCATGTCTTAGTTACTTGTTGAAAGTTCACACCCTTGAGTGTTTTTAATCAAGGACTTCCAAGGGGATTCACTCCTCACCCTTTATTCAGGCTTTAGGTCTTGGCTGCAGCTACTCAACGCAAGTTTCTGGGGTAATAACTCTCCAGAAGGCATTAAAAATAAAACAGAAGCTGGCTGCAAAGCCACTGCTCTTTTGAGAAGGCGAGGGGGGGGTGGGTGAGGAAAAAAATAGATGCTTTCATAGGCAGGAAGGAGAGCACATCACCATTCAGAGCCTGATGAAATATTCCCAGTGCAAACAATCATTTGACTCGCAGGCTCGCTGCCTGCACCCGGGCAGAGCCTGGCTGGGAGAGGGAGCTGTGCCCACAGCTCTGCCCAGCTCACACTGCTGCCTGGGGGGGGCTACAGCACCACACAACCATCCCCTGGCCCCCCCAGGGCAAGGGGATGTGGGAAATCCTCCTCGGAGCTGGATAAGCCCTGCAGGTGACATCCACACCCTCTCATCCAAGCCTCCACCAGCACTTGGAGACCTCTCATCGAGTTGAAGCTGAGGAGTCCTGTTTGCTGCAGAGCCAAATGAGGAAATAGCCAAATAATAGCCCAATATCCAAGAGCTTCCCTTGACTCCTCGTTTCCTTATTCTGGAAAAGGATTGCTTAATGAGTTACTGAAATTCATTCCACTCATAGGTGAGCTATGACAAAAGCTGTCTTGCAAAACAACTTCCTCTGCTCTTTGCTGTCAACATCTGCTCCACAGTCAAGTGCTCAGATTAGTTTGGGGAAACAAGATAAACTCTGCTAGTGAGTAAAAAGCACAGTTAAACCCAGCTATGAGAGCTCTCAGCTACACTATTTATTTATTGACACAGGCTAGTTAGTTACTGGCCTGAGCACATTAATTGATCTGGGATTTATGGACCTGTCTCTGCTGCACCCCCAGGTTTAGAGCCAGACCAAGCCCTTTGTGCAGTTTTCAAGGAAGCCATTGGAAACCAGTGAAACAGGGATGCTGAAGCC